CACAATCATATATCACAGCTTGTTCAGCCATTTCCCAATTGATGGACATCCCTGCAATTTCCAGTTCTTTGCCACCACAAAGAAAGTTGCTATGAATATTTTAGGACATATAGGTTCTTTTCCCTTTTCTCTAATTATCTTCAGAAATAGACCACGTAGAGTTATTGCTGGGACAAAGAGTATAGATAGTTTAATAACTCTTTGGGCATAATTCCAAATTGCTCTCCAAAATGGCTGGGTCACAGCTCCACCAACAATGAATTAGTGTCCCAATTTTTCCATGTTCCCTCCAACAGTTGTCACTCTCCCCTTCTATCATTTTAGCCAGTCTGGTAGGTGTAAAATGAGATTGTTTTAATTTACATTTCTCTAATCAATAACGATTTAGAGCATTTTTTCATATGACTATAAATTGTCTTGATTTCTTCATCGGAAAACTGCCTGTTCTTATCCTTTGACCACTTATCAACTGGGAAATGATTCATATTCTTATATATTTGACAAAGTTCTTTATATATTTTAGCTATGAGACCTTTATCTGATAAACTGTTTATAAATTTTTTCCCAATTTTCTGCTTTCCTTCTGATCTTGGCTACATTTGTTTTATTTGTACAAAACCTTTTAAATTTCATGTAATCAAAATTATCTATTTTACACCTACCTCTCTGTCTCTTCTTCATTCATAAATTGTTCACCTATCCATAAGTCTAATAAGTAATATGTTCCATGTTCTTCTAATTTTCTCTTTAAAATCTATCTGTATATGTAGGTCACATATCCATTTTGGCCTTATCTTGGTAAATAGTGTAAGATATTGGTCTATGCCCAGTTTTCACCACACTGCTTTCCAATTTTCCCAACAATTTTTACCAAATAATGAATTCTTATCCCAAAATCTTAAGTCTTTATATTTGTCAAATACAAAGTTATTGTGTTTATTTCCTGCTGTAAATTGTATGTCTACTTTATTCCATTGATCTACCTTTCTATTTCTTAGCCAGTACCAGGTAGTTTTGATAATTATTGCCTTATAATATAATTTAAGATCTGGTACTGCTAAACTTCCTTCCTTTACATTTTTTTCATTTTTTCCTTTGATATTTTTGATTTTTTGTTTTTCCCAGTGAATTTTGTTATCATTTTTTCTAATTCAGTAAAAAAAAAAAACTTTTGGCGCTTTAATTGGGATGGCATTGAATATATTAATTAGTTTTAGTAAAATTATCATTTTTATTATATTGGCCCTGCCTACCCATTAACAATTAATATTTTTCCAATTATTTAAATCTGGTTTTATTTGTATAAAAAGTTTTTTATAATTTTGTTTATATAGTTCCTGGGTTTGTTTCAGCAGGTGTACTCCCTGTCCAGGTATTTTATACTGTTTAGACTCTAGACTCTAGAGTTATTTTAAATGGAGAATTTTTTATTTTATCTTCTTGCAGAGTTTTGTGACATACAGAAATGCTGGTGATTTATGTGGATTTACTTTATAGCCTGCTACTTTGCTAAAATTAATTGTTTCAACTAATTTTTTAGTTGAGTCGTTGGGATTTGAGCATGCCAGTTTCTAATTGCTCCAAAAACAAACCCATAATGTTTCAAACATGCACATATTTGTTATTACAAAGGAAATAATATATTTGTAATATATCTGGACAATTATTAACTGCTTATGGTGCCCTTAAAGAATTGTTTTACAACTGGGACACAAACCAGTAAATGGAAAAATAGGAACCACTAGACTAGATGACTTTAAGGCAACACTATTTCCATAATGAGAACTAGATAAATGTTTATTGTCACCATCCCTCTTGATCCTATATTGATAGGATCATAGGATTAAGAGCTGGAAAGACCTTTGTAATTATCTGATCATATCTTGAACTAGATATTCCTTAAACACCTTAAACTCATCATGTTCACAACTAAAGTTTCATTTTTTAAATGAATTTTTATTGATTTTTTTCTGTTTTGCCCAATAACTAGATATCCCCCAAGGCTCTATCCTGAGTCCTCTTCTCTCTCTATGCTATTTCTCTCAAAGATCTCATCACCTCCCATGCAGATGATTCTCAGATTTATTTACACAGCCTTAACCTCTGTCCTGACTTCTAGTCTCCCTTTTCTAAATGCCTATTGGACATCTAGACGTCCTGTAGATATCTTAAACTCAACATGTCTAAAACTGAATTCGTTATCTTTTTTCCAAAACCTTCCCCTTTTCCTAACTTTCCTATTACTATAAATTAATATTACTACCCTGTTACTTTAAAGGGCGCTACTACTACTACCATCTTCCCAATCACCCAAGCTCACGAACAATCTAGGTATTGTCTTCATTCCTCACTCTGTCACATTTTGTATTCGATATGTTGCCAATTCCTGTCTATTCTACCTTTATGATCTCTTGTACATATCCCCTTCTGTCTTCTAACACGGCCACCAGCCTGGTGCAAGCCCTCATTACCTCATGCCTGGACTATTGCAATAGCCTGCTGGTTGATCTCCCTGCCTCAATTTTCATCCTCCATTCAACTTCCAAAGTAATCTTCTTAAAGAACAGTTCTGACCACATACCCCTCCCTCTATACACACATACACATCCAATTCAATAAATTCCAGCGGCTCCCTATCACCTCCAAGATCAAATATAAAATCCCCTGTCTGGCTCTTAAAACCCTTTATAACCTAGCCTAGTGTTCTTTCATCTTACTCCTCTATATATATTCTATGATCCATTGACACTGGCTTCCTTGCTGTTCCTCCCATAAGACTCAGCCATTTTCACTGACTGTGCCCAGTGTCTGGAACTCTCTTTGTCCTAGTCTCCATCTCCTGGCTTCCCTGGCTTCCTTCAAGCCTCACCTAAAATCCTGCCTTTTGCATGAAGCCTTTACGGGTACCCTCATTAATTCTAGCATCTTCCCTCTAATATTATCTCCTATTCGTCCTGCATTTCTTATTTGCATATCCTATAGTTGTTTGCACGATGTCTCTACCATTAAACTGAGCTCTTTAAGAACAGAGATTGTCCTTTATCTTTCTTTGTATCTCTAGCACTTAACACAGTATCTCTAACTTAACAATGTTGTTGTTAGTGATGGCCAACTCTTAGTGGCCCTGTGGACCGTAACATGACAATGCTGTCCAGGAAATTTTCTTGGCAAACATACTGGAGTGGTTTGCCATTTTCTTCTCTAGTGGACTAAGGCAAGCAGAGGTTAATTGCCCAGGGTCACACAACTATTAAGTTTCTGAAACCAGATTTGAACACAGGTCTTCCTGACTCCAGGCTTAGAGCTCTATCCACTGCATAGTAAGTGCTTGATAAATGTTTATTGATTTAACACAGACAGTTAAGTGGCAGAGCCAGATTCAAACCTGGGTGCCGAGACTCCAAATCTGATGTTTATTCCACTGAATTATGAAGTTCCTCTAGACTCTTTATTCTGTTAAAAAAACAAACTATAATGTGGAAACTCCAGCCCAGAGCTGGGGGAGGGAAATTAAGAAGGCAAGCATTTTACTTTTGTCTTACAAATGGAGAGTCAGTCGGCCTCTTTATGCTTTAAGTTCTCTGTCCTAGATGAAGTGGCTTGCAATTTAGCTCCCCTCGCCTAAATAACTTAGGCCTTCTCCTCCAGTTCAGAGATTCTTTGGGCTATGCTTTGGCATTTGCTTGTTTTCTAGGTGTATCCATAGACTCATTGCACTTTGTTTGAGGTCTTAGGAGATCTCCCCTCCCTGAGGGCTTAAATTTTGGTTCTGCTCTAGGAGAACTTTATCTCTATTCAAAGCATAGTCTGAATACTTCTTCAGCTGCTAGGCTGCAGAGGAAAGGGGGAGGAGAAGGCTGAAGAGTACTCATTCCAGTGTGATCCAAGGCCTAATGGCTCCCTTTTAAGATTTTGAGTGAAAAATTGTTCTTATATGTTTTTTCATTCTTCATTCATTCTTGGAGGAGGACCAGTGACCAAAAGAAGGGACATTTATTTTTGCATGAGGGCGAGTGAACAAAGGAAGAGATGCCCCTCAACCCTCCATCTATGCAGCCACTTTACTGTTATCTAAGAGCAAAACATCCTTAGGCCAGTTTTGAAACAAAGCTTCTAGACACCCAGTGAGACGTGGGGGGGGGGGGGGCTGCCATTAGAAACTACAACTCCCAGAATGCAGTGGTAGTTCCGCCGTACTGTGCAGTTCCTTTGGGTAGCTTGCGTGGCATGCTGGGAACCACCGCTTCCATCCATTGGATCTCTTTCTCCTTCTCCCTATTTGCCCTTCCCCCATCCCTACTTCCGCTTCTCGATCTTGGCCCCGCCTCCTCTCGAGACGCCTAGTGATGGAGCAGTTCTCGACAGTCTTCCCTCTTTGCATTCTTATTGGTTAGGCCTTGCTGCCCTTCAGGGGGGTGGGACGGAGGACCCGTTTTCTGATTGGTGGCTAGGTTTGGCGCCAACTAGGAAAGGTGGGCGGGGCAGCAGCGGTACTGTGCTAGCGGCTACTGAGAAACACCCGAGCAGCTGGGGCAGGAGGTCGGCTGGACACTGGTGCGCTCCTACTCCCCGCTCTCTGCCGCCACCGCATCTGGGCTGATTGAGTTGAAAGAAGACGGCTCAGGCTTGCGTCTCCGGCTTGAGGTTATCAACCTGCCCCTCCACCCCGTCCCTCCTTTCCACCCCTGCACCCGCCCCGTTTTGTTTGGGTTTAATCCTCAGGTTGGCGGCGCCTGCCCGCGCGGCCCTGGAACCCCTTGCGTGTGGGCATCGTTCGTTCGCTCCCTGAGGGACCCGCCCGCCCCGCTTCTCCGCGGCGCCCGCGTCCCTGAACCTCGGGGTCGTGTTTGTGTTTGACCCGCGGGTGGCCCGGCCCGCGCGCGCGCTCCGCGCTCCGAGAAGCGGTGGGGGCAGCGCTGCGCGGGACGAGGCGGGCGGGCGGGCGACCCACCTGAGGGCAAGGGAGAGAACGAGAGGCGGCACCGCCGCCACTCCTCCGGATGGAGCTGGGTCCGGAGCACCCGCACCGCCGCCGCCTCCACTTCGCCTGCAGTTCGCCGCCCGCCGTCGTCAAGGCCCTGTTCCCAGCTGGCCCCGGGGGGCTGTCCCCGGTCACCAACCTCGCAGTCACCATGGACCAGCTGCGGGGCCTGGGCAGGTGAGAGGGAGAGGAGGGCGGCCTGGGGCTTCTCCTCCCGGGACCTTCCCCGCAGCTCAGGGGTGCCCTTGCCCCGAGCCTAGGGAAACCTCCTTCCATGTGCCTGGATCCCCCCCCCCCAGGCCAAGGCACCTTAGCTCCCCCCAAGTTCACTCTGATTTTGTTCTTACCCCTTGGCCCATGTGCCCACCTCCCCGGGCCTGTCCCCCTTTTCCTTCCTGTTCTGCACCCTAACGTTCTCCCCCCTCCCCTGCCACCCCCAGTACACCCGGGGTCCCTCTTTTTCTCCATGCTTCACTCACCCCATCACCATGTGTCCTCTGTTGAAGCCTATGGGTTGAGGCACCGGGATAGTGCCAAGAGTTCAGTTTTAGAATCACAGGCCCTGATTTTTCAGTTCTGATTCAGCTCCTTAGTAGCTCTATGACCTTGGGTAAGTCACTGCCCTTTTTGAGCCTCATTTTCCTCATCTGTAAAATGAGAGGATTGGACTGGATGATCTCCCAAGATTCCTTTTAGTTCCCAATCTGTGATCCTAATCCATCAGGTCCCCATCCCCCACACACATTCTGTCCCAACATACATTGCCTCCTTTCCACTGCCAAGTAAATCCTGATCTTCATAACCCCCCCATATGTTCTCCCTTTTTCAGAGCACGCCTACTCACCAAGCACACCCTGACATCCTTTCTTATTTTCAGCCCCCTGTCCTTTATCCCCTTCGTTTCTTATTTCTTCTCCCCTCATGTGCACCATATTTCAGACTGTACAGTCCCTCAACAATATACATTCTTCTCCAATATCCCCCATCCTGTTCCCCCTGTTTCTTCCCTTTCCCCTCTCTTCTTCATTCAACCCACTGCTGTCCCCAAGTATACACCATCTAAACTTCCATTCTCATTCTCCCATTACCAACTGTACCTGGATCTTATTCTCACTACTTCCTACTCATGCCATGTTCCATTCTCACTGTCTCCCTCATACCTATTAATCTCTACCAGGTCTAGTTTTCTCCCCAACTTTCCCATATTCTAAAATCTTTGAATCTCCTGCCTTCCTACCCACTCACTCTACAACCCTTTAACAGGATCTCCAGTGGGAATAGCTCTTCCAATGTAAGCATTCCATTTCCTTTTTTTTTTTTTTTTTTTTTTTTTTTTTTTTTTTTAAGGCACATGGTGAGTTGGCCTGTGAATTAAATTAACCACAATTCCCTAGCATGTGGCCCAGGGTCGGTCACCTTGCCTCCATTTTACTATGGGCCTGAGTGGCCCCCTTCCCCCACACAGTACTTTAGTAGATCTGAGAAATGTTTTGGAGGAGGGCTAAATTGAAGGCTTTTCTTGCAACCTGGTCTCTTATTAACTATGTGCATCCTCTTGTTTCCTTGCCTTTTGACTCCTATCAATTTCTGGAATGCTGTTTTTCCATTGTAACCTTGTTCTAAATTCCCCCCAAATAAACATAAAACCCCACAAGAGTAAAGAGGTATTCTCCTTGGAGGTGGAGGGTCCAGGGAGCCTTGGGTGGTATTCTTGAGAGCTTTGAATTCCATTGGACTTTAGGTGCTATGCTGGGGAGTTATTGGCCCACTCATTCTGTTAAGGAATTGTGATCAGCAGGAGGGTGGCCCTTGTAGGACATCAGGTAGGGCCAAAAAAGGCTTTAAATAGTTTGATATTTTGCCTCTGTCTCACTGATAACCCACAGTCCATGGAGAAGAGGAGTTTTGCTTGTTGCCACATTCCAAAACTGCATATAAAGAATTGTGTGGTTTTCTTTACAGTGAATGTGAGCTTCAGCTGGAAATGAACAGCAACAGCCTCCCGCGGACAAGCTCCACAGAGTCTACAGATTCAGGTATGCGTTTGTTGTATCTGATGTACATGCCTGCTGTGCTGGGGTAGGCCTTGTGAAGGAGAGAGGACGTGACAAGCCCCTCTCCTTTTCAAGAAGCTTCTAGTTTAATAGAGGAGGTACATTTATGACATGTACATAAACAATTGAAAGGTAAGGCAGTATAGGATAAGTGCCATAGAGATAGTATAATATGAATTATTACTTATATGAAGTATAATAGTGGATATATTAATAATATATGGATAATAATAATAATGGATATATTACTGAAATAACAAGAGGGAGGAGTTTGTTTCTGCAGAGAGGATTGGGGGTTATAAAAGCAGCATCTGAGAACAAGTTAATTTTCAGTAGGGAAAAATAGAGATTGAAGTAGAGTGGCCTTCTACTCTTAAGGCTTGTGATCAAAGGCTTGTTGAATGTTCAGGGAAGGTAGGAAAGGATAAGATATGTCCAGGGAAGAGTAAATGGTCCATTTGGCTGAAGTAGGGAATGTATAGAAGAGTACTTGGAGAAAAGGTAAATTCCCTTCAAATTACCAGTGTGTGTGGTTGTCTTGGGTATCTTCCCACTTGGAAGGGCAGTGGGAAGTGAGAAGTGGTCTGAGGGTAGGTGGTGATTTTAGACTATGCCTATTCCGTTGTGACTGAATGGCCAGAAAATAAAAGGTGGCTGGGAGCTGATGAGTCTAGGCTACTTCAAGGTTGTCGCGTAAATTAGATTAAAACTCTAAGATCTTCTGCCTTTGGGGAGCAGGAATTTCTTGTTGGTTGCCATTTTTTTAGACATGAAGCCAGGACCCTACCAAATCCCTTCACAGTGGCTCTAATTAGTATTTGTTCCTGCTACCCATGGATAAATTGATCTGAGTTAAAGACTTGTGCTGTTTGACCAGATGTAGTCTACTTGCAGCAGTGCTGACCTAGGACTTGCCATCTGGGAGGGATATAACATGGATATTAACCATAAACCAGATAATCCATTCCTAAATAATCAGAAGATGGCTGTAACAATTCATCTAGCCTACAATTTTCCCTTAAGTCTTGTTTCACTGATGGTAACTCCAGAGCAGAGGAAAGCATTATGTCTCCTTCAGAGGCAGCTCGGTGATGAAGTGATAGAGCTCTGGACCTGGGGTCAGGAAGACCTGAATTCAAGTCTTGCCTCAGATGCTTGCTAGCTCTGTGACCCTGAGCAAGTCAGAGTTAATAATAGAAGGAATTAAGGTATTATAATAATGACTTACAGAACAGCTGAATCACAACAGCCATGTAGTAAAGACATTTTTCCCTACCCCAACAGGTTTTTGTCTGGATTCTCCTGGACCCCTGGATAGAAAAGAAAAGTATGTATTTGCTTCTTTTAATTTTTTTTGAAATATCAAATGGGAATATTATTAGGACCCTGACTGGCTAGGGACCTGGACTAAGATCTCCCACATCTACACTGTTGCTGCACTCACTCTTGTTTTATATAACATACTAGCTTACTTTAGTTTTAAGTGTAAGTATTCAAATCTGTCATGTTCCTGCCCCATCACATAATTCTTGCCTTAAGGCAGGACATCATAACCTGGGATCCATGAACTTTAGAAATATCTTGTTAAACTATTTCAATATAATTGATTACCTTTGAAATCCTGTGTAATTTATTCTATGCATTTCAAAACATTTTGAAAGGGGGTTCATAATCTTCACCAATTTGCAGAAGTAGTCTGTAACACACAAGGTTTAAAACTCCAGCCTTACGGGAATGTGTTTAAGAGAATATTTTGTTTGAGCTTAGTCACTTTCCCTAGAAGCTTAAGGTATTTTGGATTGGGTGAATTTGGGAAAATGATGTTCTCTTTCCTTAGACATTTAGGTAAGTGGGTTTGCCTAAAAGGAAAGAATAAGTTGCCAATCAATGTTGAATTACTTAGCTAATTTTAACATGCCTTCATTTGCTCTGTTCTTATTGCAGCCTTGAAAAACCCATGAGGAGAATAAACTCCCTGCCAGTAAGTTCTTTTCCTATTCTATTACTGACTTTGGGCTTAAATCTTGTGTCCACCAAGGATGATTTTGTTGGGAAAGAAGTGACAGTAAGTGTTGCAAATTTCACTAGAAGTAAGTGCTTGCAGATGGTAAAAAACTACCTCAAGGGCAGGGAGGTGGCATAATGGACAGAGCACCGGCCTTGGATTCAGGAGGATCTGAGTTCAAATGTGGCCTCAGACGCATAACACTTACTAGCTGTGTGACCCTGGGCAAGTTACTTAACCCCATTGCCTAGCCAAAAAAAAAAAAAAAAAAAACTACCTCAAGCTCCCATAGAGAAAGGGAAAAAGGAACCTCTCATCTAAGAAAACTTCAATAGAAGGCTAGGTCTTGCCCTTTTTTACTTCTATTTTTATTCTATTTATTCTATCTAAAAGTATTCTGTTTTTACATCCATAAGTGTTCTAGCTCAAACCAGAGGTGATTTCTCTTTTCCAATGATATTATAATACCTTCATTTGTCCAAGTAGACAAGTCTGGGAGGGTTATTACCAAGTATTGCCAACTATGTTTTGATAAAAACATGGAGAGGGAGAAATTAATTTTTATATATGTGTTTTCCCTGATAGCTGCCTAAAGATTATGAGATAACTGCTTAGATTGTTTCTAGTTAGCTATGTTTTTCTTTGAATAACTGAATTAAATAAGAACTTCACTGAAGTATCCATTACTCAACTGATGTCCAATTTATTCTTGTCACCTTGACAGCAGAAGCTCCTAGGGTGTAGCCCTGCCCTAAAGAGAAGCCATTTTGATTCATTTGACTGTGATATCTTTCAACTAAGTGACCATGATGATAACAAGGAAAATGTGAGTATGGCTTTAAGTCAGAGATGAAAGCAAAGAGGATTAGTAACTGGTGGGAGACTTAAATTTTTGGCCAAGGCAAAATAATAACAAATTGCCTTGAGGGTAATTGCCAAAACCTTAAGACAATATCCCCTTCGAAGAATTGGGAAAAACAAGGTGAATGAACCCATTTAGAACTCAGGTAGATAAATGGTCATCTTTTTTCTTTTCTTTTTTTAATTAATTAATTAATTAATTTTTAGTTTTTGACATTCACTTCCACAAGATTTTGAGATCCAGATTTTCTCCCCATCTCACCTGTCTCCCCACCCCAAGATGGTGTGCATTCTAAATACACCTTCCCCCAATCTGCCCTCCCTTCTATCATTTCCAAGTGTGTACGCCACCCCCTCCTTCTCTTATCCCCTTTCCCTTCTATTTTCCTGTAAGGCAGGATAGATTTCTACACCCCTTTGCCCGTATATCTTATTTCCCAATTGCATGTAAAAACAATTTTTAACATTGAGTTCCAAATTCTCTCCCTTTCTCCCTCTTCACCCACCCTTGTTGAGAAGGCAGCAATTTGATATAGGTTATACATGTTTGGTCATGCAAAACACTTCCATAATAGTCGTGTTCTGAAAGACTAACTATATTTCCCTCCATCCTATGAATGGTCATCTTATAATAATCCAAGTCCAGAGGTACTTCTCAAAGTTCAAACTCCTTTGACAGCAAGACCTTCTACCAACTGACCCAATCCTACCTTTCTAAACCCACTTCATTCCCCAAAACATCCACTCTAGTTAAGTAGTTCTCATGGTCCTCTGAGCATATATTCTTATCTGGTAATCTATGCAGTGTCTTTTATCAGTGCAACTTTTAACCAACTATTCTTTGTGGTCAAGCTGAAATCCTTCATGTCCTTCATGAAGCATTACTATGATGGAAACAAAGAGAAAGGACACAACAGGAACACACAGTTATCTCTCTTCCTTTCCTACTCTGTGCTTCATTTGGATCCCATGTTAATTTTGCTAGAGGTGCTACACTAATCAGTATGTGTTTTGTCTCTCCAGATAAGATTGTTTCTAGAAGGTAGTGTCTCATACCACTCAGTTGCACTGTTTGTTATATGTAGTGGGTATTTTGTTTCCTGGACAGCCTTTGTCAGGGACACCTGGTCTCTGACTCGGGCAATCTTACCTTGGAGACTTACTTAAGAAGCATTGTGATTGGTCTGTCATGTTCATGCCTAGCAAATGGGCAGTTAAAGAGAAAACTCAGCAACAGAATGTAAAAAATAATTTGAGAAGCTTTGCTTCTTCTTTAAAAAGATACTTAGAAACAAGGTTAGGCAGCCTTCATAGACCTGATCTCATCACTGTAAATGCTAGGGGACTATGCGAATTCTTTTGTTCATCAGTGATGACACTGATATCTTTTGGTTCCACAAATTATAATATCTTTCTTGTAATAAAATCTGAACTCTTAATTTTGAGGTAGTCATGATATATCTCACCTGATCTATATCTCAATTTATGAGTCAAACATGGAGGGTTGTAGAAAGAGTATTAAAATCAGTCGTGCTGTCTTGCAGGAGGTCTTTGAGTTTAAGAAGCCAACAAGACCTGTACCCCGTGGCCCTCTTCATGGACTTGGAGAGGTCAAAGATGTCTTCACCCAAAGGCAGAATTCAGCCCCCGCTCAAATGGTATGTCCTCTTTGCCTCGACTTGCCCAAGTTCTATCAGTTAGGGGGAAATTCTGGGGCCTCTTCCAGAGAATGTGTGTACCCTATAGGTTCTGGGACTGTCTTGTGGCTGAAACTCATAACACTACCAGGCAGACCTGACTTGTACATGGAGGTTTGGTTAGGACGCCAGAGGTAAGGAAAGGGGTCTGCATTTATCCAAGGCCTGCTGCCAGTTCTGGCCAAGATTTCCTCGTGAATTAGTGTGTTACAGGATTGTGCCTCTTAGTTGAATGATGTCTCTTTTGGTAGTTTTATGATAAAGGCATCATTCTCCCCAGAAAATAGTATTTTTGGATGAAAAGGACTTGGCCTCATCTGGAGATGTTCTCTAAGAGCTCTCCTACCAGTCATTCTCCAGTCAACTATCTGCCTACAGGGTCTGATACTTAAATAAACTGTCAGTGATAGCAACCATGATTATATATCTTGCCCTACTATTAGTCGGAAGTACTAATAGTTCTAAGATAGTTTCCCAAGTGTTAGCTTAAAGTCCTGGCCCTTGGTACTTTTCCCATTAGTTAGAGTGAGACTCCTTTAGCCACAGGCACTGTACTTCCTGGAGCTGGCCCCTTTGGCCATCTATGCAATCAAAGGATTTGGATTCTTCCAGAGCACTAAACTTTGGACCTAGAACTTGGCATTAACAGGAATCACATGTTGCATATCTATCCTGTTTCTTTGAGACTGTGAAAACAGTTCATGATCTCTAGACATCTCTCTGACTGATCTACCTGTGAGTAATGGTTCTTTAGTGGTAGCACTGAGAAATATAACGCCTCTGTAATGGTTGTGATAAGAAATGGGTTTAGGTGTCCTAGACTTGGGCTAAAAGTTTGTTCTGAGGTGATTACAGTACCCTTAGAGAGCTAATGTTAACACAAGGCAATTTATAAATAAAATGTATATTGTAATGAGAAATAGACCTTGCCCAAGAACTTTATCTCATTTCTGTCAAATTAATAATCTTGAGTTGCCCTTCTCTACTGTAGGAGTATTTCAGTGTAAAGCGCTTGGGTCAGTCATTTAGACCCAGAACATTCACTTTGGCAGATTGTTCATTGCAAGTAATGCATGGGTGGTAGAGGGGTGTCTTGTTCAATTCCGGCTGAGTTGTGGAGATAAAAAGATAAAAATCAACATTGACCACATCCTCAAGGTGCTTATACCCTTCTTAGAAATCTATTTCACAATGAACTGTAGTGTAAGCTAGAAGTTGATATACTGTAGAAAATGTCAAATAGTAAAGGACAAAAGAGGAGGGAGAAATCACTTCGAGCCGGGAGGACCGGGGAAGGCTTCATAGTACCATCTGAACTGGGCGTTGAAGGAAGAGGAGGATTTCAACAGGTAGGTCTTTAGGAATTCTTTGCAGGCTGGAGGGATAGGTAGGCTTGTATGCATGGAGATGGAAAACGCTAAGAAAAAATCAAGAAAAAGCAATTCATCCACTTTGGATGGAACATAGTACATGAAAGGGTGGAATAAGGAGCCAGAGTAGGCAATGGGGAAACTAACCAGTGGTTCTTTAAAGAAAGAGAATGATAGAACAGAGATTGGAGTCAAGGAGTTCAGTGATGAGGTGATTAAAATAAGATTTGTTGAATAAATAATTTGGGAGGAGAAATAATATGGGCCTAAACTGGGATGGTCACAGGGGGTTTATTGACAACCCACTAAATAATCAATAAGCATCCATTATTCCTGCTATGTACCAGGTACTGTTAAACACCAAATATACAACAGGAGAGTGACACATAATCCCTACTCCCAAGGACCTTACATTCTACTGAAAGGATATAACATGTTTACAGATAAACAGATAAAAGGCATATATAAAATACAAGTGATTTGGGAAAAAACAGGAATCCAGAAAGGTCTCAAAGGAGACAACAGTTCAAGCTAAGTTTTGAAGGAAGCTGAGGGTTTTAAGAGGTAAAGAGAAGGGAAAGCTTTCTAAGCATTGAATGTCTACAAAGACGTGGAGGTGGCAGGTGCAGTGTCACATATAGGTGGTAGTAAGTAGGCTGGTTTGTCTGCAATATAGATTATGTGGGGGGGAGGGATATGTAATCAGCCTTGAAAAGGGGGCTGAAGCAAGATGGTAAAGGGCTTCAAATGCCAAACAAAGGAGTTGGTATTTTATTCTAAAACATTTGGGAACCACTTGAGCATACTGGTGGATGTGATTAGACATGGTTTAGGAATATAAATTTGGTGGCCAGGTAAAGAATAGTTTGTAGAGGTGGTTGATGGGTCTAGACCAGAGTGCCTGAACTAGAGTGGTGGTATGAGTGGAGAGAACAGGTTGTAGGTGAAAAATAATTGAAGTAGCATCAAAAAGACCTGAGAGCTGATTTGATATGGGGCTGAATGAGAGTCAAGACTTGAGGCTAACTTCAAGATTGAAAACCTGGGTGACTAGAAGAATGGTGGTGCTCTTGACAGAAAAAGGGAGAGAAGGAGGGAATTAGGTTTGAGAGGTAGAACAACTAAGACCTGGCAACTCACTGGATGGTGGGGGTTGGGAGGAGAAGTGTCAAGGGTAACACCAGGTCTTGACCAAGTCCCCCTTGATCTATTGAAGGGAATAACATTTGGCCTGATCTATAATTTTTTTAACCAAATCTGTGAATTATCTTATAGTTTTCCACCAATGAAAAGGATAACAGTGAACTTGCAAACTACTTCCCTCTCTTCCTGCCACAGTCTCCTCTTACCTCTCTGGCTGATGAGGATGATGGATTCCTGGAAATACTTGATGGAGAGAACCTGAAGGTACCTGCCTCCCTTTCACTCTACCCCTAAATGTCCTCTGAGTTTTCCCAGGAGTGCCAGAACATACTTCTTATTTGGGCCTCTTATGAAAATGAAACCCAGTATACCAAAGCACATACCAAGGATTTAGGGGCCTGCATGTTTGATATTGCTGGACAAGCTACTAAAGGATGCTTGATGAATCAGGTTTCGGGGCAAGAACTAACTTGCTTGAAACAATAGGAGAACAATCATTTTTAAAACTTTGTGATGTTAACTATAATTGCTATAACAGTATGGAAGAGGACAGTCCTGTGGTGAAAATGGGGTATGAGCTAGCTTTATTTTGAAGACTGAGTAGTATATAGATAGCCATTGGAATGGAAGGAAAACATACTACCTAGAAATGGAATAAGAGAGAGAGAGAGAGTGTGTGTGTGTGTGTGTATGTGTGTGTGTGTGTGGTATGATTGGGAACAGCAAGAGTTTAGACAGGAGCAGAAACATGTTGGTCTGGTAGGGTGGCATTATATTATAAAAGGCTTTGAGATAAAGCCAGATAGAAGATAAAAACTAAGTTGTATTAACTTTAGCTTTGTGGATTGAAGAAAACCTTAATCATCTCACATTTCCTTACTTTTGTTTGAGGTATTTCTTTGACCCTAGCTAAGGTAATAGAGGCAGGGCATTTATGCATCAAATATCACCTATCCCCAACAAGACCTAACTCCACTAGGCCTGAGTTAAAAGGATTGGTCACAATGCCGAAGACCAAAACTATAGTGTATAATGGCTTCTTGGAGTGAGAACGTAATTAAGAATAGATTGTTTGCTTGCTTGTCTCTAGAATGGTAGTAATGAAATTACTGATTTTTACCAAATTAACTGTTACAAAATGTAGCAGTTGACTCCTTCAGTGCACCCCACCTCGAAAGTAGATATGCCTGGAGCAGCTAGGTGGCACTGTGGATAAAGTGCTGGCCCTGAAGTCAGGAGGACCTGAGTTCAAATTTTGCCTCAGACCAAACACTTGACACTAGCTGTGTGACCCTGGGCAAGTCACTTAACCCTAATTGCCTAAAAAAAGGAAAAAAAAAGGCAGATATGCCTTCGAGAAGCAATACCCTCTTCCTTCTTTAGACCCACTGTCTTAAGATCATACCATTTACAATCTTATTTTTTTTTAATACATTTTCTTCTCATTTAGAATGATGATGAAACGTCATCATGCATGTCAAGCCTTTGGACAGCTCCTCTCGTGATGAGAAGAACAGCAAACCAAGTAAGTCACAGTATTATTGACCAAAATTCTTGGAGAGCTCAGAGCTAAGGGTCTGTGTCCATGCTAAACAGATGGTTCCTGGCATTTTACCATCACTCGAACAGATCGACATCATAGCCTTGAGTCCTTGAATCTGTCAAACTCCTTTTCTTCTGTGTCTCTAAAATTTTAACACTGTTACGGTCACCTATTAAAGGGCAAATTACAAGGTAAGGAAATTTGGGGACCTACTATATACCTGCAGATCAGTTATAGACTCATTATTTAAATTTGTTCAACATAATTTAACTTAATTAATCCAACTAGCAAAAAGCCACTACTCTAGATTTTGTCCTTAGGCTACCTAGCATATTTTTTTCAGCCTGCGATTTTTCCTTATATGTCCTGCCTCTCAGTTCCAGATCAGACTTGTTTAACCACTAAACCCCAACTTAATGGTTCTATCTTTTCTTCAGTTTCACTTACTGCATTTTAACAAATCTCTATTTTCTAAGCCCTTTCTCTCTTACTGGACAAAATTTCCCAAGCATCTTCTCTCTCATTTTCTGAAATGATTAATTTGTATAGTTGGCTTATATTTCTGCACTGCCTATCCTCAGCTTCTTTAATATTGATTGTCCTGATTCTCCTATCTTTGTCTATTCCTTTTGTCTCTTTATTAGTTCTTGTTCTTCTCACTCATGAAATGTTGGCTTTTTCCAAGGTTTGGTCATTCCTAGTCTTCTTTGCTATACTCCTTTTCATAAAGAGCTCATTACTCTTGAGGCTGCTCATATATTTCCCCTAACATCTACAAAAGTGTTGTAGGTCCCATAGCATACTCTAGGTCTTCAATGGCAGTAATCTTTTACATTTCTATAATTCTTTGTGGTTTTTGAAACAGTTTAACATTCCATTTAATCCTTACAGATTTGCAGTCATGTGTTAATCCTGAATCAAATACTGTCCACTCCTACTCCCCCACCCCTATACAGGGAAGGAAAGACCTCCTAGAAGTTTGTTTGGCTGTGAAGAGGTTCCTTCTATAATCTTTTGCGGATTTCGTGTTCAAATCATATGCCACTGAACTATAAATATTAGAGTGATTATCCTTACTGTCTTGGCCATTTGCAGAGCCTCAGATTGGTGCTTCAGACGTAATAATAGGCTTGTTCCGTTGGATTTAATTTATTACATTTCTCTCTGGTCTTTGAAACAAACATAAAGCACAATTACCCTTATGTTGTAGAAGCACGAGAGATGCTGCCAGAGTATGAATAAGGTATTTTAGTTTTGGTGCCTGGTGTTACTAAAAGTTCATACTGGTTAATTCTGCCTTTTTTTCTGGTTGGCCACTGTTTGACCACAACCTGGTGCAATTAATCTGGGAAAAAATTGTAGAAATTGGTTCTTAAACAGAGTTTGGGAGGAGAATAACCAAGGAACCAGGCCTACTACTGGGTCAGTAGAATCAATGGCAGTTAGGAGAAAGTCATTTCTGGCTTCGTAGACCTGCCTGCATGATAGCTCCTCGGGTGAGGGTGGGGGGTTCAGCAAGATAGAGCCCTGGAAGCTAATCCATTCCACGTTGAGATACCAACTACTTCTCATTCATTCCTCTGACCCTTGCCTGGGCATAATGTATAAATTGGCATGTCATTCTCAGGGCAAGCGGTGTAAGCTGTTTGAATCCTCATCTGCACCCAGTGCCATGACCCGTCCTATGTTGAAGAGATTGGAACGTTCTCCTGAAGATTCCCCACCAGGAAACACAAAAAAGAGGAAAAGCACAGTAGAGGAATCTACTGAGGAAGCAATGAAACTCAATGAGGTTTGTTTGATTGTTATATTGATAGAAGACTGTATTATATGTGTGTGTAGGACTCTGGGCCTTTCTGTTGCTGTCTTATTCCCACAGCATTTCTATTCTGTTATTTTATGCCCTCATTATTTACTGTACAGACTATCTGAGTCTCTACTTTCACAAACTTAATTTATGAGGCCTTTTGATTTCCACATAGTGCCTTGACTATTGTCAGTCCTACAAATAGCATACCTAATTTTTTTTTTTTTTTTTTTTTTTAAAGAAAGCCTTGTAGGAACTAGAAGGTGAGGTGATGGCGAAACAACAAAATTCTGCCCAGTTTATCCTGTCAACTGTCCATAGAATTCTTCTTTCCAGTGAATGATACTAAGTGTTATGACTCAGCCTTGTGTTTCTAAAAGCTTCACCTTGAAAGTGAACCCTCAAAGAGTTACTCAGCTATCATAAAAGTTCTATGAATATTTTAGTGCATATGTGACCTTTCTGTCTTCAATCTTCTAGCAGGTGGGATGTGTGAATCAGAGTGTATGTAAGTTTTAGTCACTTATTAGTGTATCTCGAGTGCTTTCTAGGATAGTTGGAATTGGTAAATAGCTGGTAAATGAATGGAATGGAAATAGTAAATGAATGGAAAAATATTTATTAAATGTACACGAGTCTCTTTTAACAGTTGTTGAATACTGATGAGCAAATCCTAACTTTGTTGATTTTTTTTTTTAATTTATAGTTTAATTGTGTTATACAAAAATAAAAGGCTTGTCTTTCAGATTAGAAGTTGTCCACTAATCATTCACATCAAAGACAAATGCTTTCTCTATGTTCTAGGGTTAAGTCAAAAGCCCTCGGTCTCAGGAATCATTCTCCATTTTTGCGTTTTTGATACAGAGCCTGCAGCCAGCTGTATCCCAGTCACCTTCCACAGAAGAGACTATCAAGAGCATTTTGGACAGTGACCAGAGGGACCTCATTGGTGATTTCTCAAAGGTAATCTCCTTGGGATCAAAAGCCCTTCATTCATGAATTCAGGATGGTATTGGAAAACAGCCCACTTAAGTTTGTGTGTGCCAAAGAGGAATTTTTGGACTTAGAATAATATTGATGAATCTTAAAGAATGGACAGGGTAGCAGTTTTCCAGATTTTGTTGATGCCTTGGAGAGATTCAAGTGAGAGTGGAAGAAAAGCATTCAGGGCAGAGCTGGGCCTGGAGTCAGGAAGACCTGTTCAAATCTTGCCTCAGACACTTACTAGCTGTGTGACCCTGGGTAAGTCACTTAACTTGTTTGCCTCAGTTTTCTCATCTGTAAAATAAAGATGATAATAATAACCTCTACATTTTAGGGTTGTTGTGAGGCTTAAGTGATATATAACTTGTAAAGTATTTGGCACAAAGTAGACACTCTAAATGTTGATTCCCTTCCCATCAAAGTTGAGATCACTGTTAGTGAGCCTAATCCATTTTAGCATTCTAGTCATCCCTTACAGCAAGACTGCCATTTTGGAAGACTTAACAGGAAGTGACACTATAAGCATTGCTGTGGGGTATGACACCAATGACTAGATCTGCTCCCCATTAGAAATTAAACATGCATATATGTAACAGGTTTTGTTTTTCTTGCCTTCTCAGTGGGTGGGGCAGAAGTAGGGGGAAGAGAATTTAGACCTGAAAATAAAATAATATTGAATTTTTAAAAAAGAAAAGAGATTGCCATGGTTTCCCACCCCTACCGAAGGTAAAAATGTCCTTGTGAAAGAGGCAATGTAGAACAGTAGAAAGAACATTAAACTTGGAGCCAGAGGACCCAAGTTCAAATTCTGGCTCTGCAAAGTGAGAGAGTTGGTCTAGATGATGTGTGAGGCACCTTTTAGCCCTATCTTGAGGAGTTCTTCAACTGGGGCCCAGAACTTGGTATTTGAGGACTATATTTCTTTCAATAGTCGTTTGCTTTGTGATCCTCTATGTATTTTATTTTCTGCATTTAAAAACATTCCATAGGCTTCACCAGACTTTAAAAGTTAAGAACCTCTGATGTAAGGTCAATTGTAACAGTGTCTATAAAGCCTTATAGGGTAACAGAAATAGGCAATTTCTGGATTTACAGGTAACCTTTGATCTCTAACCTACACTAAAAATAGTGTCTTGTTGAAATAGCTGACCATAGAGTAAGAGCAGGCTTTATGCCCACACATTAACATGAAAGTCCTGCTCATGGACTGGTCTGCTGAGATCTGTGGGGAGAGGAGAGCCGCCTGTGGCAAAGGTAAAAAAAGCTGCTTAGCTAATCTGCCTTGTAACAGTGGCCGAGCTAGAAAGTGGCCACACTTGTGCCTGCAGAAGCAGCAGTGCTAATGTTTTGTATTCCGTTTTTGTTTTAGGGTTACCTTTTTCACACAGTTGCTGGGAAGCATGAGGATCTAAAATATATTTCGCCAGAAATAGTAAGTAACTTCCAAGGACTCAATTGTACACAAAGTATTTGAGTCTTTAGCTACTAAAAACAGCTAAAATTAAATTTTCTGTTTCTCTCCCCAATCTCTTTCCTCAGATGGCATCTGTGTTGAATGGGAAGTTTGCAAATCTAATTAAAGAGTTCGTCATCATTGATTGCAGATATCCATATGAATACGAAGGAGGCCATATCAAGGTATGAACTAGGGCTGCCATGCAGCAGGGGGTATCTTGGTATATCTTATAGGGAAGGTAGCTGACACCAGTCTAAGTGGTTATTAGTTGAATATAAGTTTCGGGTTTAGTTCTATAGAATCCAATCTCTCTCTCTCTCTGATTGAAAATGTGTCTTGTGTGATGTCTTTGTGTACTGTCTCCCCCTTCCCTTGTTCCTCAAAGGGATTTATAGGAACACCAACATTTACTGATGTGCTAACTAGAAAGGGGATCCTTTTGCAGGTAGGGGCATGTTGACTTGGGAAATTGGAAGGTTTTGTCATTTAAGCACCTATTCCCAAGGTTTAATCACTTTGATAACCATTCTATCCTCCTCATTTCTCCGTTCCTTAACCTCTTCAGTTATTAATGACTCAGAGTCAAATTCTAGAGATTACTGTCACTCAAAACTGCACAAAAGCAGTTGAATTTTGAGAGTCCCTACTCTGACTGAAAACTTCCATCCTTCCTATTCTGTCTTTCTTCCTGGACCATATACCTTCATCATGATCTCTGCTCCCTCTCAGTCCCTTCCCGGTTCTTCTAGTCTGTCACCACTGGTCAAATTTCACTTCAGTCTTTACTCTGTAGTCAGTTGTTTCAGTAAGACATGAATTTCTACCCTTGAATCCCTTATTTTCACCCTGCTAATACCCCAGTCCTGAATAACCCCTGACCAATTATCTTTTCCGTTTCTCTTGAGCAATACAGTAATACTGGGGGAAGTAAGGAGACCCCACTTACTGGATCTCCCACATAGAAATTTTTACTATCTAACCTCCACTGAGCTCTCATTTCCACAGGACAGTCCTTTTTTATTCATTTCTTTTGACTGTCACATGGAGAGATAACTGTTGTTTCAAATCTCCTTCATTCTCTCCTACCCTTCCCATCTCAACAGATTACCTACTTTACTAAGAGAATTGAAGCCATCTTTGGGAGTTTCTGACTCCTTTTCTCTACATTTGAAATTCTGTTTTTACTCATTCTTTCTTCATGTCTCAGGGCAGCTAGGTGGCACAGTGAATAGAGCACTGGGCCTGGAGTGAGGAAAACTCATCTTCATGAGTTCAAATCCAGCCTCAGATACTTACTAGCTGTGTTACCCTGGGAAAATCACTTCACATTGTTTGCCTTAGTTAACCACTCTGTTCTTTTTTTTTTCTGTTTAACATTTTTAAAATTAATTTATCTTCAGTTTTCAACAATCACTTCCATACACTTTTGAGTTTTAAATTTTTCTCCCCCCTCCCTCCCCCAGACAGCATGCAAGCTGATATCGGCTCTACATATACATTCCTATTAAACATATTTTCACTTTAGTCATGTTGTAAGGAAGAATTAGAACCAATAAGAGAAACCACAAGAAAGAGGAAACAAAACAGAAGGGAGAAAAAGCACAAATAGTTTGCTTCAATCTGCATTCAAACTCCATAGTTCTTTCTTTGGATGTGGATAGCATTTTCCATCATGAGACTTTTGGAGATGTCTTAGACCATTGCATTGCTGAGAAGGGCTAAATCTATCAAAGTTAGTCATTGCACAACATGGCTGTTCCTGTGTACAAGGTTCTCCTGGTTCTGCTCATTTCACTCAACATCAGTCCATACAAGTCTTTCCAGGTTTTTCTGAAGTCTGCCTGCTCATCATTTTTTATAGCACAATAGTATTCCATTACATTCATATACTACAACTTGCTCAGCCATTCCCCAATTGATGGGCATCCTCTCAATTTCCAATTCTTTGCCACCACAGAAAGAGCTGCTATAAATATTTTTGTACATGTAGGTCCTTTTCCCATTTTTTATGATCTCCACTCTGCTCTTAAATGAGAAGTTTGCAGTGGTAGTAACTAGCAGACATAAGACTCAAAACCAGATTCTCTGATTCCAAATCCAGCTCTTTCCACTGTACCACAATGCTTCTTAATTGCCAGGTCTCATACTTCCCTCTCCTTGGCATTCCTGAAGAATTTAATACTGTTAGCCACTCTTTCTTCCTACATATGCTCTTCCTCTTAACTTCCATGATACTTGTTTCTTGTTGTGTCTCTTATCTTTCTGATGGAAGTTTCTTCTTCTCCTTTGGTGTCTTCTTTTTCTTCTACCCATCTCATTCTATTTCTCATGATTATGCACAGTCCTCTTTTTTTCTATATAATCTATCCCTTGAAAAACTTATCTATTCCCACTTTAAATATTACATAGGTCCCAGTGATTTATAAATGTCTAGCTCTAACACCAGCCACTCCCTTCATTTCCACATCTCCATCTGCCTTAGATAGATAACACTTTAAATACTCAAACTCAACATGCTTAAAAAACAAATTGATCTCTCTTCCTCCTCCCCAAAAAAGTATTAACTTACTTATTCCCATTAGGGACACCACAGTCATTCTTGACTTTTCTCCTTTCATCCCTTCCTGCTTTTATTCTCTCCTTTCTCCATTCCATATCCCATGCTGTTTCCATAGTAATCTTACTAATGTACAGTTCCAAGCATATTAATTACTCTTCTAGTAAAAAAAAAATTTGGTCACTACCTATTGTCTGCCAAATAAAGTCCTTAGCCTAGCATCCAAGACCCTTCACAGCATTCCCGTTTGCACAGGCACCATTGCTGCCAGGTCATGTTAATGTATCTCCTAGTACCTAGAAAATTGCACTGCAGATTGTATGTGCTTAAGAAATGTTCCGCTGAATTTCCTATTCTTGCTGGCTTGTGATTTTTATATCCTTTAGCGCATTCTGCAGGCATTTTGCCCAATCTTATTAGGTCAGTTGGCAGCATAAGTGGGGGCAGCTATGGCTTGGAAATTGGTGAAATCTGCTGAGTGGAAGAAGGAGGTACTTGGAAAGTCATGCCTCCAAAAGGCTTTTGCTTCTAGCCTGACCGGGAAATGGAGTTATAGGGATCCTTAGTGCTCCTTCTTTGGCTTCATGAGTTTGTTGACTTCTTTCTAGGGTGCAGTGAACTTACACATGGAAGAAGAGGTAGAAGCCTTCTTACTGAAGAAACCCATCAGGCCAACAGATGGCAAACGTGTCATTGTTGTTTTCCACTGCGAATTTTCTTCAGAGCGGGGTCCCCGAATGTAAGTAACTGGGCACTATCTCTCAGGCACAAAATGAAGATTTTTTTTTTCTTCATGGACTGAACTTTTTAAGAATGTTCTTGACTTAGTTTGTTTATCTAAAGAAATGACATTTATAAACAATTAAGGCTCTCCATAATTGGAATAGGCTGCCTAGAGAAATGGTAGATGGAATTCTTTGTCAGTATTAGATTATACTGGGGCTCCTGTGGGATTATGTCATTTTATCTGTAGAACCAGAGCTTACTCAAAGTTGAGCAGAGAATTCCTAGAAAATAACCATTTCCACATTTGAGTCCCTTATTCCTTATTTTTGTTTATATTATATATTTTACATATGTATATATAATGTTATATGTAATATTGTATGTTATATCCTTATTCTTGAGGCCTTATTCCCAATATTCTCCACATCCCCACTTCTGGTTACTTCATTTAGGTATAGGTATATTCAATATCTGGTAAACTGGCACTGACCAACGCTGATTAATATCTCAGACAACGTTTCTTATGAATACCGAAAGCCTACAGAAGGCTTCCCAAAATCCTTGTCTTATTACTTATGCCCTAAAATGTAGGCAGTGCAAGTGAAGTTGTCAAGTGAGAGGGACATTTAGGGTCTGAGAGTCATTTGGAGGCACAATAAGTAGATTTTTGATATTTTAGGGCCTAAGCAACTTGGCAAGGCAAGGGTGGGCAATGACACACAGAATAGTCTTTGTTAACTATATTAGTCGGTCATACCATTTTCCACTACTGCGTCCTAGTGCTCAGATGGATTTTTCAAACATGGTTCAATTTACACACACACATACACACCCCACCTTGAAGCAACTACCAGACCTTCTGGTGCTAGAGAATGATGGTCGGTGGTTCAGGAGTGGCAAGGGTTTTCTTCCTTTTTCCCACCCTCGTTCCCTCAGCTAAATCTCCTTTGGTTTTTCCCTCTTTCTCCAGGTGCAGATTTGTGAGAGAGCGGGACCGCCTGGATAACGAATACCCCAAGCTCCACTACCCTGAACTTTATGTTTTAAAGGGAGGGTACAAAGACTTCTTTTTGAAATGCAAGGTAAGACTGTCCCAGAGCAGCACCTATCAATGACAGTGTTTCATCCATCTATGACGTGTAAAGAACTCATTATCTTAGGCTCTCAAGGATATTTCTTTTGAGAGGAAGAGACCTAGCTTATCTCTAATTACGTACAGGCCCGAGACCCCTCAGATTAGAAAGTTCTGGGACCAAAGGCATTAGAAGCAACATCTGTTCACATCCTGTATATCCTAGCCTTGAATTTTGACATGAGGAGGAAGAGATGTGGTAGGATGTCCCTTTGGACAAACAGACCCCAGTTCCAAAAATATTGCCTCACTCCCATCTCCTGTTGTGTAGAGCGCTGTGCCTAGGTATTGTGAAGAAGTTGAGTCCAATACTGGGTATGTCCTTTTCTCTCTTGCCAGTCATACTGTGAGCCCCCAAGCTACCGTCCCATGCACCATGAAGATTTTAAGGAAGACCTGAAGAAATTTCGCACCAAGAGCCGGACATGGGCAGGGGAGAAAAGCAAAAGAGAAATGTACAGTCGCCTAAAGAAGCTCTGAGGGTGGGGCTCCTCGGAGAGCAGCCAGAGAACCCCCTGTTCCAGAGAAGCCTGAGGAAAGGGGCCAGCTGGATACGTTTTCCTGGCTACGTCTGCAAGCCCGCTCACTCCACGTATGTGCTGACCATCATCACCTTGGTCTCAATTATGAGAGCTTCTGCTTCCTGGCATTATCCTGTTGACTCTCTTGCTGTCCCTTTGGAACTTTTAAAGATACTTTGATGGGAAAAGCTTTCCTTTGGCAGAGACCAGGAATGCTGGGGGGGGGGGGGGTGGTTTGCTGCTACCTTAAGTTACCTCGTGGAGCTTACTAAGAACTTATATCGACACTCAGATAAAATTGATGTCCCTGAGGTTGCCTAAGGCCCCTAGGAGTCAGATTTGTACCTCAGATGGCTTCTTCCCTAAGTGACTTTGGCTGTCTCCCTCCTGTGCAGCTAATCTGTGGCAGTCACAAGGAAATACTGGGTTTGAAGGGTAGGGGTCAAGGGGTGGGAACGAAGGGAATTGTTGCACACAAAGGTGCTACTGACCAAATACCAAAGACAATCTGAGGAGAAAGGATCTCTATTGTGTACAACTCCTATGTGTTAATTTATTCAACCTTGTCAATCACTTTATTTTTTTTAACTCCTGGATCATTAGGTCAAAATACTGCCTTTCCAAGTGGAGTATTATTCTAGGAACTGCCTTGGACCCAAAGTCTATTTTTAATTTTTTTGTTTGTTTGTTTAAAGAAAAGATAAAATACTAGATGTTCACAGACTGGTTTGGTTAGTGATGAGACAGGGAATGAGAAGATGAAGTAGCTTTCTAAACCCCAGGAGGTCCTAAGTAGTCCTGGAGGTTGCTTCAAACCAAGAGTGAGATGGAGCTCTGTCATCAAGATGGTAAGTGAGTGTCAGACTTGACTGTAGTCTTGTGCTAAACTCTGTGACTACTGTTGGAGACTCCCAAAGCCACAAGGCTTTAGTGACTGTCCCTTCAGCACTGCTATCTGCGTAGAACTGGGTTTTTACCATTAATCTTAGAGCAGTGGGGCCTATTTGATAGATGCCCCCTGCCCTGCCATTCCTTAACTCATCCTGGACCTTGCTGGGACAGAAGTTACATCAAGAAAGCACTTCAGGCAGCCTCAGCTGGGTTGCTCCTAGATCAGTGTTAGGGCACGTAGCATCTGTATTCCAGAATGGGGGGGAGAAAATAAGCTCTAAGGTAAGAGTTCTTTAATTTGGGTGTGTTCCTCTCTTATTACCTTCATGATACCATTGAAAAGCTTTTCCTTTTGATCTGCTCCAAGGCTGAAGAGTTTTCTGAACTTCAGGTTGGTGCTTTTTAAAAAGTTTTTTTAACAGTCCTATTTCATGGACCATGAGGTATCAAATCAGTGTTAGAGGAACTGCCTGCAGTTTTTTGGGGGGTAGGGGGGGACAAAGACTCTGGGCATTAAGAAGAAAGTTGGGAGTTGGTGTGGAATTGACCATACAGAACGTGTTTCTCAGGAGGGAGCCTGGTGGATCCTGAAGGTGAAACTTTCTGGGTTATCATGTTTAAATTTGAGGGGAAGGGGGTGGTAAATTTATCTCCAGTCACCCTCTCATCTAGTCCTGTGAGAGTGGGGCCTTAAAAGGACCCCTATAATCAAAGTTAGGGCTAGATCTTGATTTGCCAGAAAAAAAACTGCTCTGGTATCTTCTCTTGTATGTAGTAGATCTTCTAGCTACCTTACACTACAGGTAGCAGTCCTCATACCATCTCTGGCTCTGTTGGGATACAGCCAGGTTTCCTCAAACACAAATATTGCCTTCTCCTTCCTTAGCTTCCAAAAAAAGGGAAGTAGGAGAGGAAGGTAGCATGAGAATCAGTGATGTTGGTGACTGGTTGCTGCTATATGTTTTGGGTTTGGGAATTGCATTTAAATGTAAAGCAATCTTGTTGGAAAAAATATATGATGGGAAGGGGGAGAAGTCCCCCCACACACACACTCCTTGGCTTGGTCCCCAACCTGGTATTGTATGGACTGATATTGCCCAAGTTACAGGAGTGGGGAGGTCATAACAGACTTGGGGCTATATCAGCTAAGCCAGCATTAATAGACTCTTGCAGGCTGTGGAAATAAACAACCTATAACCCAAATCTTTCTGCCTCGTTTTTTTGGGATTGATATGCAATTGATTTGTTACCTTTCTTTGGCGTTCTAGAACTAGTAGCTCCATAAAACTGAGATAAAGTTGGGAGTATCTAAAGAAGGAATTTATGGTACAGTTGTCAGATTATTTTTTGCATGTTAGGTCCTAAAAGTAGAATATACAAAAATACTTGAGGATAGAGGAAAAGTCATAGGGGTCCAGCAGGCATTCTTGCTAATAAAAAGGGGTCCAAACAAATTCAGTGAAACGAAATAGGAACATTGAAATATTCTCTGAATGATTCTGTTTAGTTTGTGATCTTATTCCTTTGTCTTCTCAGTATCACTAGGGATAAGTAAGAGGTTTTCTTGTTTTACAAATGAAACAATAGTGATGTAAAAAGGAACTGAGGAAGCAATTGAGTAAATTTAATTTCTTTCCAAAGAGGAAGAGATTGGAGGTATTCCATAGTACTAAGTACACAAGACAGGGTAATATTGGAACTAAATATATCCCGGATTCTGAAGGAATTAAAGGCTGAAAATGGAAAAACTGTTAGGAAAAAATGCTTAACATAAACCACTGTGCTGAAGTTCTAGCTAATTGCAATTACAATGTGCCTCATTCCCTAAATTATGGACTGTCTGAGGAGCTTTTAAGTAAGATTCCTGTACCCATTTAGAGTTTGTAGAGGGGCTTCTGATTTATGAGTAGATCTTCCCACCAAAAGTAGAAAGGCCCTGTGTTCCCATACTAGCACTCAGGCTACTCACATTGAATATGACAAATTTTATTTATTCCAGAAGAAAACTTAAAGGAATTTAGCAGTCAAACTTTGTTCTCCAGAGGTTCTACCCTCCTTAGGGATACAGTCCACATGACTCAGTACCAAGGATGGCATAGGCAAGTATTGCTCTTCTAGGCTTTTCTGGGAAATCATTCTATTCATTCAGGTACCATTCTTTTTCTTTTTACTTGGCATTGGGAGGCTGTTGTCTTGGATGGATAACTGGCCTAGAGTTAAGAAAGAAATAATATTGGTTGTAAACAGACTCTTAATGAATTACAAAGCAGTAAAATTGGAAGAGTACTGGGCTTGGGACTCAGAAGAGCTGAATTTTAATCCTGCCTTCAACACTTAGGAATTTCGTGACCCTGGAAAGTACCTTCCCCTATTTGAGCTTCTCATTAGAAGATTTAAAGTTGTGATGAGACCAGATAATGGGGTCAAACTATAGATTATTGTTGTTTGTCCTTCATTCTTGAAGAGGACCAAGGTCATCAGGAGGGTGATGTCGACCTGCAAGTGAGTTGGATTTAAGTGAGGCAGAACTGTGCAAAGTCACCAGTCTCACTCTCTCCCAAGTCATTGGAATCCAGTAGCAAGACATAAGTCAAGATGACCGGCAATGGCCCAGAAGTTAAACTATAGAAGATTTTGCTCAGATGTTCAACATTTCATATCAAAGAAAAATTAGACCTAAAGTGGACTCTGGGATATTCATTTCAGCTCTGGAAAGGAATATAGGAGTCACTGTAAATGGATAAGTAAGGATGCTAGGCCATCAACAAACCTTTAGTGTTCTGTTTAATTTGGGGTGCCTTGTTTTGGAAAAGTCTCAGCAGTAGGAGCTATATAAGCAAGAGCAAGAAGGAATTGAACACATTAACCTAATGTTTACATAACTGAAGAATACAAACTATTGTAGGGAGACAGCTCTTTCAGCTAAGGCAGTAACTCTTAACTTAGGATCTGCTCTAAGATTATTTTTCACCTAAAGGCAAGCAATAGGAGTAGGCTTGTTTCTCCTAACAAAACTAGTCAAATTCTTACCATCTCAAAAAAATCCCCTTTGGTCTGAGCCATTCCATTTCGCTTTAGGGTTATTAGGTTCCATCAGCCATTTTCATCTCCCATAATTCTTTGGGAACCTTATGTAGATGAGTGGCTAGGGGTGAAGAGGTGCCAGTTCTTCAAATACAGACTCAAGTCTCTGACTTCCTGTAGTTTTTACCCCTTTACATTTCAATGTCCCAGTCTTGTAGTCCCTGTAGACCTTCAGTTTTTGCTGAAGTCTCACTGAGGCACTCCTTAATGAAATGAGTTTAGAAAACTGTGTTGGAGGCAGATTATGGAGGGCCTTAAAAGCAAGATCTCTGCCTGTGTCCTTTTCTTTTCAGAGCTTTCCTGGGAATCCTTGCTTCAGCTCCAGATCCAAGCCACCATATTGTAGCATCTGTCTTTGCCTTAGTCTTCTCCAATACTCTGAAGGCTTTTCTGAATCATACCTGTCTGGAATTGTCAGCCCCAGCCTCTAGTCTGGTCTCTCCCGAGCCATACTTTTGCCTGCTCCTGCCTGTTGTGAAATTCAGGCCTCCTGGGTGTTAATAGACACTATCATCACCTGCTTGGAGATTGGATCTCCAGGGAGGGCCTTGAACAGTTTAATTGCCTGCCCCTCTCAAGAAGCCTTTCTACAGACACTTGGCTTAGACTTCTTTCTCAATGGTTAGCATAATCCCACCCTGGTCATACTCTTCCCATCCCAGGGCTTCTGAACCCCCAGCTGTTATTGTACTACCTTCTTTCCCTACTTCCCTATTCCCTACCCCACAAATGTCCCTCTCCAGATCTACCCACCCCTAGCACTGTATTCTCTGGGATGCCTGTTCATTGCTCAACAATTTTGTGGGGGGTTTTCCTTAAAACTTCTACTTTTACATTCCTCTCATCTTCTGGCTCTCATTGAGAGCTGACTCCCCCTCAATGGCGCTGCATCCCTACCCACTTTCCAGTACTAGTTGTACTTTTACTCACATCTTTACCTGACTGGTTGTAATGGTGGAATTAGAATACTCATTGCTCCCTATTATCTCTTCTAGATTCTCCGTCTACCATCATCACATAGCCACATCTCCTCCTTTGAGGTTCATTGAATCTAAATTTTTCACCCAGTCAAGATGCTGTTAGGGGTTATTATCTACTGATGCCAATGATACTCTTTCCTTCTTCAATGAGTTCAGTCCTTGACCCAGTCTTTCTCTCCCTTTTACTAAGAGAATTCAAAATACATATCGATATTCCCTCAAACAACTTTACTTCCAAGTTCTTGAATGTATTCAGTTATCAAGACCTACTCCTTCAACCTAGCTCATAGAGATGGCCATACTGTTGATCTTGCCATTACCCACAAGTGTTCTGTGTTCATGAATGCTAAAATTGCTTTGTCAGATTATAATCTTTTATCATTCCATCTCTCCTGCCATATGATTCCTAACCCTGTTCATCCTCATCATGATCTCCAATTTCTCCATCCCTACGTTCTTTCCCAGGCCTTCACCTCTGCACTGACTACTGACTACACTTTACTCCTTTTTTTTGGGTAAGGCAGTTGGGTTAAGCGACTTGCCCAGAGTCACACAGCTAGTAAGTGTCAAGTGTCTGAGGCCAGATTTGAACTTGGGTCCTCCTGACTCCAAGGCTAGAACTCTATCCACTGTACCACCTAGCTGCCTCCTCTATACTCTATATAGGGGTGGGGAACCTGTGGCCTCAAAGCCACATGTGGCCCTCTAGGTCCTCAAGTGTGGCCCTGTGACTAAATCCAAACTTCACAGAATAAATCCTCATA